ATTCCTCAGAAGGCTACGAGCCTTAGAAGAATTTTGCACAATTAAGAAACTACAACAATCGTGGAAGCAACAAAGAAATATATTGCTATCATCTATAACTGTCACGTCAGAAGATTAAAAATGCTACAAATACCAACATATATATGTACAATGACTAGAACAAATCAGTTTATCTTCAATTAAAGTCGGTATCGCCTTCTTAAAATTCCAGTACTTCTGATATCATCAAGCCAAATATCTCCACCACTTAAGCATGAAAATCGCCCCTCATGGCGAGGCGAGAAAACTACATCATTTATTCATCACCTTCAGAACCTGCAAGAGCGGCACGAGAATCTCCTCCGGGAATATGCGACGCTCCGCCACAACGCGTCGGTTCGCGGCGACGCCCCGCCGCCGCCGTCACACACCGCTGCAACACACCGTCTCCGCAACCCTTCGCCGCAATTCTTCGCTGCAACTCTTCACCTCAACAAGAAAGAATATCTCGTTGCTTGTCTGCCACGCAGGACGAGAACGACTTTCTTCTTTTGGGAAATTTCAAATCACCTACTATGCATGGATGGAGACTCAACAATTTTTCTCCTCTCTTTGGCCTATTTACAGACTGAAAACCCCTTTATCTTTATTATAAAATTAGTCAGAGCCCTTAAAAAAATAAAACTGCTCTTCATTAAAAAAAAAAACTGTTTTTCATTAAAAAAAAGCTGCCCATTAAAAATAAAAATAAAAAGAAAAAAAACATTAATTTGGTGGCATGAACGAAGATGTTTGATTCTGATTTGTTGTACAAAATTATAAATAAGATAAAGTTTGAATGTTTTGTAAACGTTTAAACTCCACAAATATATCTTATAAACTTAAATCCGGTACAGATTTGTTTAAATGTTCAAAATTTAAGCAGTCTATAAATAATTACATGCTTTTTTATAACTATATATATATATATATATAGTTATAAAAATTCCTTTATATATATAAAAGTTGACAGAGATTAACTTACAGTCCACGTAATTCTTACATATTTAAATTTTATCACCAAAATCCGTATATTTACGGGCATAACATTCAAATTTGTAGTATTATATTAATAGTATCACGATAAATACAAAGTGCTATACATTTTAATATTTTTGGATAATAATGCTGACCTCGCCGGAAAATAGAGGGCCAAATAATACGCCGCCAACAAATTTTCATTATCTGACACGAATTTTGAGGCATGACACGGATCTTGAGATGATATTTTGAGCAAGAAACATCCAAATTTTGATAAAAAGTTATATAGAGCTCTGATTTCAGCAAACTTATAATCAAACTGACCGGCTTGATGAAACGGGCCCAATGATATAAAAACTAGTCCAATCTGAGTCAGATCAAGCCCGATCAAATCATTAAACCACTCTTGGAGGATTTCCAGAGGCATTTGGATGGTTAAATGAATGTGGAATCTAGTGAGTTCATAATCTAATCGAGTGTCTCGATATGATGAATACAACGAACCCAAGATTGCTCAAGTCTTACATCATTAAGGCACGCAAATGTCTGTCAAATGTCATCTGATTGAGGGAAGCTCTCCGAACCGTCCGATGAAATAATTCATATTTCTGCATTAATTGCACCCAGAACACTATAAATAGAGTCTTACCCCTCAAATGGAGGGGTAGGCTGGAGAGAGAACTTGAGGAGAAGGAGCTCAAGCCTAACATAATTTCTGTCATCGTCGATCGCCGTCGACCACCACCGACAGTGAGCGGCCAACGCCGAACTCGATCGACAACCGTTGATCACCTCCGACCAGACGCCGTTAGTCAACGTTGTAACTTAGAAACCCGTTTAAGGGACAAAGGTCTTTCTCTGTAATCATCAACTTATAATGAATTTTTATAACTAGGCTAGACCCCGTGGTTTTTTCCCTTTTACGGGTTTTCCACGTAAAAAATCAAGATGTCTCCTCATGATTATTTCTATTCTTTTATCCGCTTTCATCTGAGTGTGTGTTGAATTCTCATGCAACGATAAGACGATAATCCATTACTCTATCGCCGCGTATTTTCTAACACACATCATTTTTTTTTTATTAAATATATCCTTCAAAAATATATTTTTCACTTTTAAGAAATTAATAATTGTGATATTTTTAAGATAATATGACAGATTTAAATGTTATAATACACAATAGTTATGTGATATCTAAGTAAATTTCCCCCACAAGGAAGATTTTTAAAATTTATGAATTTTGTTCACTTCAGCCTTCCAAGTTTCATAGCATGAATTGTAGGAGCGTAAATTAGTCCGTTGGAGATCAGTCAGTTTTATCTAGGGCTGTAAACGACCGAGCTTGAGCGAGCTCAGGTTGGGCTCGTGTTCAACTCGTTTGAAATTATCCGTGTTCGAAATTGACTCGTTTTCGAAACCGGCTCGTGAACAATGTGCTCGTGTTCGGCTTGATTTAAATATTCGTGTTTGTGTTCGGCTCGTGTTCAACTCAAAATCGACTCGCTAAAAATAAATTGAAAAAATAGATGTAAAGTGTTAGATTCAAACTGAACCAAATGTATGCAAAAGAAGGCGCATAAACACATTACCAAACGAGCAGTTATGTTTTAAACTTAGATATAAATAAATATAATATATTATTATATAAATAATATATGTAATATATTATTATATAAAAAAATTATAGAAAGTTTTTATTTCGAACTAAAACGAGCCGAGCACGAGCGAGCAAAAAGTTATTAGTGTTCGGCTCATTTATAATTCGAGCTTTAAAAATTTATTCGTGTTTGACTCATTTACTTAACCAACGAGCCGAGCTTGAGCTGTTTGTGAACAACGAGTTTTTTTGACAGCCCTAATTTTATCACGAGCTTGAGCTTTATTAATCAATAGAGCCTCATTTAATATGAAAGGGAGAGAAAATTAAATCTATACCATTGTTATAATGAATGAAAAATATAATAAGCTTTCAGAAGATTATTATTAGGAAATTAATTGATATAAAATGTAAAATATCAACTTTAAAAAATTGTTAATAATTTAATAATAATATTTTTTTAATGTATTTTAAATATATTTTTAATTAATTATTTAATTTAGCTTGTTACGTGGAGCAAAGAGATTTACGAAGCGGAGTGGGAAAATATATCTCATAATTTTTATTGATAAAAAACTCATGTCATAATTAATATCTGTAGTTTGATAATAATAATAGGTTAGTTAATTTCACTAATTATAACCTCAACTTTCACGCTATTGGCGTGATGAAACAGGCGGTCTACTAATCTATTTGGCTCAATGTTTATTACTAGCATTTAATGGCATGCATTAATAACATCTTTTGTCTTTTACTGCAATAATAAAAAATGCAATACATATATATATATATATATATATCACGATCACCGACTACCACTATCGATTGATGGCTACTATCGTTGACCATCACTTGATAGTTATTGTCGATCATCATTGATTGCAACCCAATCCTTATTTGAGACAAGTTCCTCATCGCATCGACGTTATAACTTGGAACTTAAAAGACTTTTTAACCATTTTTTGACTGTGAGATAACGGGTTATACTTGTAATCTTCACTTTATGGTGGATCCCTTCAACTGAGTCATTCTCCGTAATTTTTCCCTTTATAAGTTTTTCAAATAAAAACTTAAGATATAACTATTGATTGCTTTTTCTTCTGAGTATAAGTTGAATTCTCATGCAACGCTAAGACGAATAATTTACTACTCTAATGAAGTAAATCCCCCAGCGCACATCATCACTTATTATTAAAAGTGAACTACTTCTACTTTCTCAGGTAAAAGTTTGACCCAAAAAATATTATAAATATAAATATAAAAATCTACATGACATTATATAAGCACATAAGAATCATTTCCATCTAAAATATTAACTAATTATTACATAAACAGTTCTTTTGATTTTTTTTAAAACATTTTCATATATACAATAAATTTTTATGCAATCCATCTTGATAAACATGAGAAATTATTCGTACGAATACCGCATGCAGATATGCATAACGTGTTCGATCTCAACCGTCGATCACCGCAATCAAGATTAAAAAAAATTAAAAGTGAGGTCCACCAAAATATATCTTTTTAGTAATCAATAATAGATATCAAATACCACATGTATCTGTATGGAATAATTTTTCGATAAACTGAGACCTATGTACTCAAAGTTAGAATTTCTAATCTAAAAAAAAAAACTTTTTATTTTAGAAGAAAATCATTTTAATATGATGAATTTCCAAAATTACCCATCAATAAACAGCGTGGCATGTGCCGAAATTAGGCTGCTTTAGTGCTTTCCCTTGTGTGAAAAATAAAAGTAGGAGGGATGGTATTGGAATAATAAAACACTTTTTAGCACCAATTTGAAAAATATTATCTTTTAGGGAAAAAGCGTATGCATACAAATGTTATAATTCCAATCAAAGACATCCAATTATTGCCGATCCAACGGCCATGGTTTCTCATCCGGGCCTAAGAAGACAGCATGGCCCAATATTAACTTCGGCCAGATACGCAAAACTATGGAACCGCAAAAACCGACCATGAAAATAAACCTCGAGTGATTATTGGACGGACTCCCCCAAAGCCCGCAGTCTCATCCGTGACCACGGTCCCGCAATGGTGTAAGTATGGTACAGAAGCATATGCCAGCTGTCACGTAGCGACAACCAAAGGGGTGGTGGGGTAAAAAAACCCTGCTTTCTCGCTTTTATTCCCAGTACTCAAATAAGAGTACTGCACTGACACACGCCAGCACAGAAACCGGCGTCGACAGCTGGACTTAACACGTGGCTTATGATCATTGGTTTTATAGTCCTGTTCGGTGTTTTATGAACAGCGACCTCACTCAGTCATGAGCAACGGCTACTTCTTTCCTCCTACGTGGCAGAATAGATCGATAATGCCACGTGGCAAGCGGCTTCGTCAATAAGCCACATTGATCGGGCTATAAAGTCTAACGGCCGCACGGCGTCTTCTTCTCGTATGGAGAGAGGGACCTCAGTCGCTACTGCAGCAATGGAGTTTGACAGCAGGGCATTGCTGGCTATGTTAGTTTGCTGCGCATTATCGGCGGCGGCGGCGGCGGCCGCCGGAAATGGGTCGAGATTTGATGAGCTTTTCCAGTCTAGCTGGGCGTCAGATCACATGGTTTATGACGGAGAGCTTCTCCAGCTGAAGCTCGACAATTTCTCAGGTACTTCAGAGCTTGATTTTTCTTCTCGGTTGCGTTCGTTGTAATCATCTGGCTTCGAATAATGTATATGGATCTTTCAGGTTCGGGGTTCGCATCCAAAAGGAGGTACCTCTATGGCAAGGCGAGCGCCGAAATCAAACTCGTCGGCGGCGACTCCGCCGGCACGGTCACGGCATTCTATGTAATAATTCATTTCTCGAACTTCCCCTGTTAAGAATGCGCATTCTATGTAGTCGCTATCAATCGGTTAAACTTTTTTCATTTTTATTAATTTTATGGTGTTTGGGGGTATGAATTCAATCATTCAGATGTCGTCGGAGGGAACGAATCACGACGAATTCGATTTTGAGTTCTTGGGAAACACGACGGGGGAGCCTTATCTTGTTCAGACGAACGTATACATCAACGGAACTGGTAACCGGGAACAGAGAAATGATCTCTGGTTTGATCCCACGGTCGATTTTCACACCTACGCTATCTTATGGAACCCTCGTCAGGTCGTCTTCCTCGTCGACGAGACCCCGATACGTGTTTTCCAGAACAAGGAAGCTAAAGGCATCGCCTTTCCTGGATATCAGAAAATGGGGGTCAGTAGCTCGTTGTGGAACGCCGACGATTGGGCTACGCAGGGAGGGCGCGTGAAGACAAACTGGTCTAACGCGCCCTTCGTCGTCACGTACAGGGAGCTTAAGATCGACGGCTGCGAAGTCGCCGTGGAGGCGGCCTACGGTGACGAATTGCGGCGGGGGAGCGGGGGGGGGGGGGGGGGGGGAGGGGGGGGTTTGGGGGAAGGAAGGGAGGTATTGGTGGAAGGCGCCGGAGATGGAAGAGCTCAGTGTGCACCAGAGTCACCAGCTTATGTGGGTGCGTGAGAAGCATCTTATATATGACTACTGCTCTGATGTAGCTCGTTTTCCGTCAATGCCGCCGGAGTGCTTCCGGTGATCGCCGGCGGTGGTGGACGTAAAGATGAGCTTCGTGCTTTCTCTTCTCGCTTCCATTGGGGTTCAGCATTATAAGTGTTTTTATGATTTCTGTCTGCTATTTTGTTTAGAAAAAGCTGGGATGGTTTCTTTTGAAGATGGTGAATGATGTCACTGGTTTAGTGGCATTGATAATTAGTGTAAATAAAGGAGTTATCTTTTTTTAAAAAGTTTAATTAAAGTTAATTAATTGTGATTTGTTTGATGGATGGGTGATTAAAGTTTGAGTTTTAGGAGAATTATTAGAATATAATAATTTTTTTAATAATTTTATTAGAAGATATCGTTATTTTTTATTATTTTAACATAAGTAAGCTATTTGATCTTCCATTTATATATAATTATTTTTTTCTAAAGCGAATCTTAGTTCTCTATTATTTGAAATTTATTAATGGGTGTGGATTAATTAATTTCTTAGCAACCAGAAGCAATAAATATATTTTTAATTGCCAGTTCATATTTTGTTCTGATTGGAATTAATATACGAAGGTCGAAAATAATCAAAAGTAATTTGGAGATATTGCTTCCAAAAGTCTTATTGGGCGACAAAGAGTGATTATTTATCCTTTTTTAGTATTACATGAAAAACTAACAGGATTAATGAAAAGTAATTTGGAGTAGACACCAAATCTAGATATTTTATGTGAAAATTTCTTCTTAAAAGGGAAAAAAATTTGATGTCTAAATCAGTTGAAATAATTTATTATGAACTTGTTTTTCTTCTCTCGTTTCTCAATTGTATAAAGTGTCTGGGTATTTATAAGTATTCTAAGATTTAAAATAGGAAAAAAAAGTAAATTAAGAGCAGAAATTAAGTCTATATATCAACATATGGAATTACTGTTAATTACACTATATGAGGGCAATTACATTATAGCAGGATAATTAATGTCATTAATTTATTTCTGGTAATAATGTTAACAACCTCTCTCAAGCTCATGATGGTATCGTGGATGTCATCTTGAGTTTACTCAGCAGATCTTGAAAACGTGCTGGAGAATGAGTTTTGGTGAAGATATCAGTTGCATAATTAGCAGAGGAGACGAGAATTAAAATTACGATTCTTTGAGTAACATGATAACAAACAAAGTGACAATTAGTCTCAATATGTTTAGTTTGTTCATGAAAAACGTCATTAGGAGAGATTTGTATAGCAGTTCTATTATCACAATGAAACATAGTAGTTGAAGATTATTGAACACTTATATCAGATAACCAACGTAGCCAAAGTAATTCATATGTGGCATCAGCTAGAGCACGATACTTTGATTTTATGTTGGAACGAGCAACGACGGGTTGCTTCTTGCTACGCCAAGCGATAAGGGACTCTCCTAAGAAGAAGCAATAACCAGTGGTAGAACAACTATTTATGAGATCACCTGCCCATTCAACATCAGCGTAGCCAGATAATACCAAAGAGTAGAGTGTAAAAATGTAGACCATGAAAAAGAGTGCCTTTAATATATTGAAGTATCCGAAGAATTGCAAAAAAGTGTGATGAGCGAGAGACAAACATGAATTGACTGATTAAGTGAACAACAAATGCGCTCATTGGACCCGTCTGAACCAGTCTTAAATTTATAAATCCATTTACAACCAATAGGGGACTTATGAGGAGGAAGATCAACTAAGTCCCAAGTATGAGTTTTTTCCAAAGCACGAAGTTCTTCAGACATACATTGCTGTCAAAGAGGGTCAGCAATTGCCTCACGATAAGAGTGAGGCCCTTAAAAAGTTGCAATCAATGGAAATCAGTAATGGAACGAGGAGTCTCTCTTACCAAGGTAGAACGACGAAGAGTGGTGTCAAGGGTAAGTATAGGTGCAGGTGTAGGTGCAGGATCTGTAGCTGGAGCAGAATCAATCAGAGCAGGTGTGGAAGGCCTACTATTGAGTGTATCTGAATTTTCTGTGTCAGGACTTCGAAATAACTCAATATAAGAATCAGTGAGAAACATATAGTCAATCTTGACAGAGTGGTGAAACTTAAAAAAGGACGAGAACATGGTATTTTCTCAGAATGTAACATGTCGTGCTATGCGAAGTTTATTTGTGATAGGGTCCTAACAACAATACTCTTTGTGCTCAATTCCATACCCAAGAAAACAACATAAACGAGCACGCGATTATAATTTTGTACGTTCATGGGGTTGTAGAAGAACAAAACAGGCACATACAAATGGTTTAAGTAGGGACTATTCAAGAGGCTTCCCAAACAATTTTTTAGAAGGGGATAAATTTTGGAGACCTAAGGCAAGAGCTGCTTCACCACAAAATTTTCTTGGAGAGGAAGCAGTAAGAAGTAGTGCACGAACAAAATCAATAATATAATGATGTTTTCGTTCGGCTCGTCCATTTTGTTGGGAAGTATGAGGACATGAGCATTGAACCATGATACCTTGTTGACTGAGAAATTAGAAGAACAAAGGATCCTGATATTCCATAGTATTATCGGTTTGAAGAATTTTAATAGTGGAAGAGAATCGAGTTTTGATTATATTAGAGAATGAAGTGTAAATTTTTGATAGTTCAGATCGATTTTTCAAAAAGTAGATCCATGTAAATTGAGAATAATCATCAATAATAACACAAAGTAACGAAAACCATTTATTGAAAGAATAGGGGAAGGACCCCAATTGACCGAATGAATTAAGTGAAAAGGACCCTCTGAAATTGAATTACTATGATTAAATGACAATGCTGATTGTTTTGCAAGCTGAAAATGACAATTAAATGACTCACACTTTGTAGATCCTAGTAAACCTAGAGAAATTAAAGTCTGAATTTTACTAATTGAGGAATGTCCTAGACGAAAATGCCATTGGTGAAGAGAAGAGCTGGTAGTTATAACAGCAAACAAAAATTTTTAAGGAAGATGAAGAGAGATAAGATCAAATAAACGATCGACCCTGCAACCCGTCCCAAGAATCTATCTCGTTTGTGGATCTTATACCTGACAAAAAAAGGGGAAAAATTAACATTCAACCCTTGTTCACATAACTGACCAACATAGATAAGATTGAGGGTTAATTTAGGGATGCAGTAGATTTCAGGAAAACTGAGATTGAAGTTAGATGCATGACTAGTGTGAGCAATATTCATTTTATTGTCATTTGCAGTGTGAACTAGTGGTAAGAAAGAAATCGATGATGTGGTATACATCAATTTAACATTGTTAGTCATATGGTTACTGCAAGTAGAGTTAAAAAACCATAGAAGGTTACCCGGAGTGACAGACATTGCGTAGATGAATTGAAAGAGACAACATGTTGAATAGTGCTTCTAGATCACTCATAGTGATAATAGTAGAACTGTCAGTGGTAGCAATGAAGACGGAAGTAAAGCTGGGCATTGAGATAGTCTTGGTTTTAGAACCCTCACCTTTTGGCGTGGAGGATGAGTCAGGCAATTCTCAAGAATATGACCAAGAGCTTGAAAACATCTTCATTCGACAGTCAGACAATTAACAAAGATATAACTAGTTTGTTTGTAATTCTTATATGTATTGTTGCTAGATTTCTCATACGAGGGACGAGTAGTTGCAAGTGCAATTTCAAGTTAAAGGTTCTGTCAAGATTGAGGCGAGTTTCTTCGATGATGATTTCTTGTATATCCATATCCAGTGCAGGAAGAATATGTCAGTGTAGCAGAGAGGCTCAAACAACTTCATATTCAGGTCAGAGAGCCATGAGAACTTAGATAAAATGAAGATGATCTTTACTTATTTTTGCATGAGATAGTTGATTCCAAATTGATTGAACTTGAGCAAGAAAATCATTCACATATTGACAAAATTCTTGTTTCAAAGTGTAAAGCATAGTCCATAGCTGAAAGTGATGAGCAAGACCGATGGTCCAATATCTATTGGCGAAGAATTCCTAAATTTCTTTTGCAATGTCAAATTCAACAAATTGAATTTGAATTGATGGAATAGAGGTGTTATGCAACCAAGTAAAAATTTGATGGTTTTTGTTATCCCAATCTTCATGGCGATCATCAAATTTGGCATCAATTTCATCTTGTTGTTTGATTGGCTTAACGATATCTCCATATGCCAAAACTTGCGACCGATCAAAAAAATTTTCATTCCTTAGACCCACAAATTATAGTTTGAGCCAGTCAAGACTGTTGCAATAGGATTTGCACTTTTCAATTTCTCCATTTAGAAGTGGAGCAGATTGGGAGCTAATCTTGTGCTCCGTGATTATGAGAAGGGAAACGAGTTTGTCAAAGTTACTTCTTCCTTGTGTCGTGTGATCCCCTTTTTAATGCAGAGGCGAGATCAGAAAGAATCACATAAGAGAGATTAAATAAGGAGGGGCTGGATTGATCGATGAGGACATGATCGAGCGGTCGGCTTCGGATCGAGAAGGATAGTAGAGGGGATCACAGGTGGAAGAGGGTTCGGAGTTGGGTTGTAGGAGTGGGGCTGTCAGAGTCGAAGTCGAGGTAGGATCAGAGGAGATTGTAAGAAGCGTTTGGAGTAGCAAAGGCCTTCAGAGCCGCAAGTTGGGGAGGGGCTTGATCGCAAGATGGGGAGGAGCGCAGAGGGGGAAGGGCTTCAGAGTCGAGCGGAAGATTGCAGAGGGGAGGGGCTCGATCGTAGCTGGCACATGTTCGCTGATGCAAGATTGTAGAAGGGATAGATCGTCTCGGGCTCGAGAGCAGAGCATGAGTTATCGGAGCTGAAGCTCTATGTCTCTGATACCATACTAAGAAAAAGGAATTTGTATTTCTTCTCTTGTTTCTCAATTGTACAAAGAAGAGTGATATTTATAAAAGTATTATAAGATTTAGAATAGATAAGAAAGTAAATTAAGAGCAGAAATTAAGCCTAGACATCAGCATATGAAATCAATGTTAATTACACCATATCAGGGCAATTACACCACATCAGGACAATTAATGTCATTGATTTATTTCCGTTAATCATGCTAACATGAATGATGAGTACACACTTTTTTCTTTAATTAGATACGATGAAATCATAAAATTGTATTTGCAATTTGGATGCAGTTTTTGACAACAACAGACTTAAGTAGAAGTTTGTCAAGGTGAGCCATAAATGGTTATTTCAGTAGCGTTGGTGGTTATAGATGCCGTAGCAGAGAGTTCTGGTACCTAAGGACAACGTATGTCATATAGG